AATTGAGACTGGCTTGAGAGTTTAATTCTGATTTTTAAAAATGTTAAGTAGTACAGAAATCTTTTGCCTTTCTTATTTCAGACCTTTTGGACAATGCTATGAGTTTCTCAGTCTAAATACAGTGAGAAAATACTTCCTTCCAGTTATAGAAATAGTTCCACAGTTGTTAGAAAATTTAACTGATGAAGAACTAAAAAAGGAAGCAAAAAATGAGACCAGAAATGATGCCCTATCCATGATTATCAAGTCTTTGAAGAATTTAGCTTCTAGAGTTCCAGGACAGGAAGAAACTATAAAATGTTTAGAAATTTTTAAGTTGAAGATGATACTCAGGTAATGTATTACCCAACCTTAAATTATTGTTTTTGTGTGGGACTAGCAGTTAGTGTAATGGCTATGTCGCTGGACTCCCATGTAGCCGACCGCAGTTTGTGTCCCAAACCTGGTGATTTAAACTCACGCCAGGGACATCTATGTGTGTGCCCAAGATCCCAAAATGAGAATGGAGGAGAAGGAATTGCGGCGTTGCCATCCCGCCTGGGGAGTGATTTCTGGCTTTCTCTCTCTCTCTCTGTGTGTGTGTGGTGAGTGCATATGCTCTATAGCAAAAACCTCTCAAAAATATTAATATTGTTTCTGTGAATGTTTATTATGTTATTTACTCTAAATTTTTCTTTTAGATTGTTGCAGATATCTTCTTTTAATGGAAAGATGAATGCACTCAATGAAATTAATAAGGTGATATCTAGTGTATCATACTATACGCATCGGCATGGTAATCCTGAAGAGGAAGAATGGCTGACAGCTGAGCGAATGGCAGTAAGACCTTTTAACTGTTTTTTTTTTTTTTCTGAATTATCTGCAACAAAAAGCTGAATTAGTTCCAATTACTGTTAGAAGCAACAAGACTAAAAAATGATTCTGAAATTGAGATTGATAAGTCTCTTCAGTGTAGATTAGTTTAGTAGATTATATTAGAAGATTAGTTATTTGGAAGTATAGGCGTTATTGTCATATTTTTTGTAAATTTGTTGAACATAAGTGTTCATAAAGCAATTTTAATTTGCTGATTTAGTTGAAATGATACAGATGGAGGTGTGGATATGTATGGGATCTATACTTGTAAGTGAACTGGAATGATTAAATCCTGTTGCAATGTAGTGTTCTCAAATTGGGATTAAAATTGATAGGATAAAATCTCCATGCCTTAATGTTTCATCATTATCTTAAGAATAATTAATTTTATCTTTGGGGCCAGCAGGTGGCCTGATTGTTAAGATGCTGGACTTCCGTGTGGCCAACCATGGTTCAAGCCCTGGGCCTGATGGCTTTCTCTCTCTCGCTCTTTCTCATTCTCCCTGTCTGTCTCTGTTGAGTGCATGTCCTTTATAGCAACTAAAATAAGTAAATAAAATGAAATAAATATTTAAGAAAATAATTTTTTGTTTTCAGTAACTTCATTTTAAAATCACTTATATCTGTCATATTAATCTTTAAATCATTTACCATATTTATTTTTATATATTTTACTTTTGAAATGAGAAGCCAGTAGGCTACAGAAGTATTAAAACATATCTTTTTGATTATTTAGTGTGCTCATACTCTGAAATACATTTGTGAATAACATCCACCTTTAAGTATTACAGTTTTTGGTTTAATATTATAAATGTATAGAATGTGATAAAAGATGTTCTGGGAATATTCTGGTAATGTTTAGAAGTAGTATCTACCAATAACTTAGTTTCACCCCGTCTATGACAGTGTTGGAGGTTAGGTTTTATATAGCCAGTTTGCTTTACTTTGTGGAATGTCAAACATACATTACTTACAGTGTTGGTTCTTAGGTTGCTACCAATACTTGATAGATACAGAGAATGGGAGTTGGAGAATATTTTGAAGGAATTTGGTTTTGCTGTGGCATTTTTTATTGTCTTTTATTAAAAAAATCTAAGACAATGGAGATAGAGAGTTAATTATTTGAACACATAGTTGAAATACTAATACAGCATGTGTGTGGGACTGTATTTGTATGTGCAGAATCAGATTACATAAGATTATTTATTTTAATGTTTCCCAGTTTCATAATAAAACAGCAAATGTGTATAGACTAGCAGATAATGCTGTGGCTACATTGCTGGACTCCTTAGTCGACCTTGATTTGAGTTTCTGGGTTTGGAGGCTTAAACTTACGCAGGATTTGGGTGCATGTATGTTGAAGATCCTGAAAGGAGAATGGAGGAGAAGGAATTTCGACGTGGCCATCCCCCTGGGGGGTGATTTCTCGCTTTCTATCTCTCTGTTCGTGTCTGTCTTTTCTGGCGATTTCATGTTCCCTTTAGCAAAAACCTCTTAAAAAAATAGAAAAATCGAACAAATTTATTGTGTTAATAGAGTTATGATATGTCATAATGTACCTGTGGGAGCATTTTGTTTACAAAGTCTATTCCTATGAAGTTTTAGTCATATTTCAGTTTTGCATTAAAATGATACGAGGATGTTAATGTGTTATAGTTTGAGAGCACATAACTTGGCTTTTTGAATTCTAATTTATTATATTAAGCAGTCAGAGTAATGTTTTTCTGTTCTTATTAGTTTCTTCACTGCAACAAATTTTTGTATTGTATTTAGGAGTGGATACAACAGAACAGTATCTTATCCATTGTCTTGAGAGATAGTCTTCATCAACCACAGTATGTAGAAAAATTAGAGAAGATTCTTCGTTTTTTGATTAAAGAAAAAGCACTTACATTACAGGACCTTAATAACATCTGGGCTGCACAGGTAAGGGTTGTATCTATTTAAGTTTTTTTAGGTACGTGCCATAATACCTAACTTGTGACAGTCTTTGTTTAAAGGCATATGAGTTTGTATTGCTTGATTTTTTTTTTTTTCAAAGAGTTCTGCATTAGATAGCATGTGGTCTCCAGAAAGATTAGATAGATACAGTAAACGGGAAAGTGAGAAATCAGACCACCCAGGAAGGATAACCATGTCACAAATCCATTCTCCTCCTGGAATTTTGGCCATGTAGGCATTAGAAGCCTAGTGTGATTTTCTAACCACAGAGTACAGGACTTGAACTATGCTTGGCCATGTGGCAGTCCATTGCCATAATCACCGTGCTACCTGCTGGCACCTTGCTTGATCTTTTAAAAATGAACTTGTGTATTTACAGATATCCTGGAAGAATATCTAATAATTAAAATAAATTTTAGTTTGTGTCCTAAAGCGTGTCAGGTCATAGATGGTTTTAAACAAGAGATGTAAGTTAATTATCATTAAAGAAATGATGATTTAAAGAATATAAAGAAGCTATCATTGACATGAAATAGATTTTGGCGGCCAGCAGATGATATAGTGGTTATATCACTGGACTCCCACATGTCCAGTAACAGTTCGAGTCCCTACCCAGTGGCTGGAATTCATGCTGGACACATTTACATGTGTACCTTGGATCCCAGGACTCCTCCTGGATGGAGAAGGGATTGTAGCATGGCCATCCCTTCCAGGGGGTGGTTTCTCACTTTCTCTTTCACTCTCTTTTTCTGAAGTTATATACTGTATTAATGATACAATCTATAATTGTTATAGAATATAAGTAGTAACATTTTTAGAAATACTAGTGCATATTTTAAAAAAGTATTTCTGCAGGTTTTTACTCATAGATTTCTTGGGAAGTATTATTAACTACTAGATTACAAAACTTTTAAGACGATCAGCAAATATTTAATCTTTTCTTCAAATAAACACTTCAGTGTCTAATTTTGAGAAAACTATTTTTAGTTATTTTCCTATTTTATTGTTCAATTATTTCATAATTTTTATATTAAGTCTTAAAAAAAGTAATGTTTTTTTTTTTTTCCGGGTTTTTTTTTTTTTTTTTTTTTTTCCTGGAAGTGGATTTTATCTTTGGGCATGGACACTAGCCAGAGAAAGAAAGAGAGAGAAACATAGTGAGAAAGAAAGTGAGGAATCACCTCCCAAGGGGGATGACCACACCACAGTCTTTTCTTCTCCTCTTAGGATCTTGGGCACACATATACACGTGCCTCATGTCAGTTTTCTTTCTTTTTCTTTCTTTTTTTTTGTTTCAAGAGAGATTTTTGTGATAGGACACAAGCACTTGCCAGACAGAGAGACTGAAATGAGTAATCAGTCCCCCAAAGGAGTGGCCCTGTTACAGTCCCTTCTTTTCCATTTTTCCTTTTGGGATCTTGGGCATGCACACAGATATATCCAGTGTGGGTTTTAAGTTGTCATGCTGTGGACAGTTACATGGAAGTGAGATGTAATACTTATGCTGTCTGCTAGTCCCAATCCACCAGGTCAAGACCTTGAACTAAGATCAGCCATGTAAGTGCAGTGATGTAACCCCTACACCATCTGCTTGCCCTGAGTAGCCAAGTTATAAAGCATTTTAAAATGTTAACAATTTTTTTCAAAACCTCAGAGGGAATATTTATTGAGTAATGGAGGCAGAGCTGCTTGGGTCTAAGCTGACATTTACATTCAAGTATTTTACAGTTTTTTACTTCTGTTTATTTTATTTATCTTATTTGTTTATTAGGCTGGAAAACATGAAGCCATTGTGAAAAATGTACATGATCTACTAGCAAAATTGGCTTGGGATTTTTCTCCTGAACAACTTGATCATCTTTTTGACTGTTTTAAGGTAAACAGCAAAATTTAAAACCATTTTTTATTGTAAGTAGAATTATTTATATCTGTTTCTTTTTGAGAAACAGATTTTTGATATAGGGCATTTGTGCTTGCTCTAGAGACCAAGCAAGACAGAGAGACAGAAAGCCAGAAATCACCCTCTGGGGGATGGCCTTCTCTTCTATTCTTCTCTTGGGATTTTGGGCATATATGCACATGTGCCAGGCATGAGTTTTAAGCTCTTGGGTCTTAGACTTGAAGCACAGTTAACCATGTGGGAGTCCATTGATGTAATGATTAATCTGACTGCTGCTCCAACTGCTGGTCCCTCTTTTGCTTTTCACACCATTACTTAAAATGTTTCATCAAAGACTTTTTTTTTTTTTTTTTTTGAGAAGTTTTTGCTGTAGGATATGTATGTTTGCCAGAAAGAGACAGAGACACAGAAAGTGAGAAATCACCCCCTCCCCCCAGGGGGTATGGCCATGCCTCAATCCCTTCTCCTCCGTTCTCCTCTCGGGATCTTGGGCGCGCATGCGCCTGGCGTGAATTTAAGCTGCTCTTTTCGGAACTCGTTCCTCAGTCGACTACATGGGAATCCAGCAACATAGCCATTATGCTAACTGCTGGTCCCCATCAAAGACTTTCTAATGAAACATTAGTAATTATTGACTCTCTTTTTTTT